TGGGTTTAGGGGTGGAGGGGAGATACGAGCCGTCGCAGTCCATTTCATATTGCTACGACTGTTTGATTGTTCGTTTTGTTGTTCAAGGTAATCTCTTCCATGGTACACGCTTTTCACCAGGGTTTGAAGCGCAACTTAACACATGTCCCTGTCCTCTTTTGCATATTGGATTTCAGCTGTAAAGGAGGTTGAATTGATATTAGTAGAGGGATGATGCTACCCTAAACCCTAAACCCTAAACCCTAAACCCTAAACCCTAAACCCTAAACCCTAGACCATACACTGCTGCACCCAGGCATGATCGTGGACAACGCTACCGGATTGGTCGGGGAGCTGTCGCTACGCAGCAACGTATGGGTCTAAAAATTATGATGGGTGTGCACCTTATGACATGCCCCCTTCAAAACCCTAAACCCTAAAACCCTAAACCCTAAACCCTAAACCCTAAACCCTAAACCCTAAACCCTAAAACCCTAAAACCCTAAAACCCTAAAACCCTAAAACCCTAAAACCCTAACACCCTAAAACCCTAAAACCCTAAAACCCTAAAACCCTAAAACCCTAACACCCTAACACCCTAAAACCCTAAAACCCTAAAACCCTAAAACCCTAAAACCCTAAAACCCTAAAACCCTAAAACCCTAAAACCCTAAAACCCTAAAACCCTAAAACCCTAAAACCCTAAAACCCTAAAACCCTAAAAACCTAAAACCCTAAAACCCTAAAACCCTAAAACCCTAAAACCCTAAAACCCTAAAACCCTAAAACCCTAAAACCCTAAAACCCTAAAACCCTAAAACCCTAAAACCCTAAAACCCTAAAACCCTAAAACCCTAAAACCCTTACCCGAAACCCGAAACCCCTAAAACCCTAGAGCTCCTGAAGCTTGAAAGCCTCAGCCCCAAAAGGCCTCCAGCCCCAACACTGGCCAGAGCAGCCCTCGAACCTTCAAGACGGTTGGTTTAGGGAGTCTAGGGTTTAAGGTTCAGGGTTTAGGGTTTAGGGCTGAGGTGGAGCTTGTCTTACTGGGATAGCAGCTGATGGGGCTTTCTTTCGCACATGTCGCGCTTTGAACTTTTGGGGTTTCCTGATCTAACCTTTTTTCCTTCTTGGATAATGGAGAGGTATGTTTTTTGGTGTTGCGGTTATATCTTCGAGGTACCAGTTTGATGGCAGAACGTCCTGTCCAAAATGTAGCTATGAATCCCCCCCCCCCCACGCTCGGACCAAAATGATTGTTCTTGCAAACTTTAATCCCGATAGTTTACTATTTTTTTGCATGCGCATGAGACACGCGGGGAGGGTCTGGCGTCGGAGGCCCTGAACCCTGATTGTTCCTCTTCAACCCTGAGAGCCCTGAACCCGAAAAGCCTAACCCCTAGACCCTAAACCCTAAACCCTAGACCCTAAACCCTAAACCCTAAACCCTAAACCCTAAACCCTAAACCCTAAACCCTAAACCCTAAACCCTTAACCCTTAACCCTAAACCCTAAACCCTAAACCCTAAACCCTAAACCCTAAACCCTAAACCCTAACCCAAACCCTAAACCCTAAACCATAAACCTTAAACCCCACCCTTTCTTTCCCAAAACAGAAGCCGAGGATCCCCTTAGGGTCCGGTCCGCTCCACGGAGCCATGGGCTTTGCCGAGGAGATGTTCGCCTACGCCGCCCAGCTTGTGTTGAGGGTTTAGGGTTTAGGGTTTAGGGTTTAGGGTTTAGGGTTTAGGGTTCAGGGTTTAGGGTTTAGGGTTTAGGGTTTAGGGTTTAGGGTTTAGGGTTTAGGGTTTAGGCTTTAGGGTTTAGGGTTCAGGGGTTTAGGGTTCAGGGTTTAGGGTTTAGGGTTTAGGGCCCCCTATCAAGGACTGCTAGTATTAGGGGGAACATCCCAAGGTTACATAAGGATATGCTGTTCAAGCCATGGCGTCCGTGAGGGCCTCGAGGAGGTTCAACAGGGCTTCTGGAGGTTGGGCTGTGGGGGGTTCAAGGTTCAGGGTTTAGGGTTTAGGGTTTAGGGTTTAGGGTTTAGGGTTTAAGGTTTAGGGTTTAGGGTTTAGGGTTTTGGGTTTTGGGTTTCGGGTTTAGGCCTTGGAGTTTAAGGGGTGATTCGCCCAGCTGCCGAGATAGCTTCAACAGCATGACATTGCCTCTTGACAACAGCGGCTGAACCCTAAACCTTGAACCCTAAGCCCTAAACCCTGAACCCTGAACCCTGAACCCTGAACCCTGAACCCTGAACCCTGAACCTTGAACCCTAGACCCAAAAACCCTAAACCCAAACCCTACAAACTATAGGCCGGCAACCGGAGCCCTAATCCAGGCCAGGTACATCCAGAAGCACGACCAGCAGTGGTCAGACCCGAAACTCGAAACCCAAAACCCTAAAGCCTAAACCCTAAACGGTAAACCCTAACACATCTGCCCTACCCCCTGATACCCCGTGCCCCCAGAGCCCCCAAAACCGTGTCCATCCCCAGTCGACGTGCGACACCATCCACGTCTTTTACCCGCCGGCAGCCTGAGCACAGGCGCTGAAGGGCCTTAGGACTTAGGGTTTAGGACTTAGCGTTTAGGCCCTTGCTCTAGGGCTCCAAACTCTAACCCTTTTGGCTACAGCAAGCCCATTGTGCTCTTGCAGAACACAGTGGCAGTTGAACCTTCCCGCTGTACTTCTCACATTAGAAATCCAGGGTTTAGGGTTTAGGGTTTAGGGTTTAGGGTTTAGGGTTTAGGGTTTAGGGTTTAGGGTTTAGGGTTTGCGAGCATGTCAAAGCAGTGTGTTTCACCCGGCCAGAGTGCACAAGTAGAAAGGACATTCAGAGGTCATCTGCTTTGAGACACTTGTCCTAAGCCCTCAGTCCCTAAACCCCTAAACCCCTAAACCCCTAAACCCCTAAACCCCTAAACCCCTAAACCCCTAAACCCCTAAACCCCTAAACCCCTAAACCCCTAAACCCCTAACCCCTTAACCCCTAAACCCCTAAACCCCCCCCTAAACCCTAAACCCCTAAACCCCTAAACCCCTAAACCCCTAAACCCCTAAACCCCTAAACCCCTAAACCCCTAAACCCCTAAACCCCTAAACCCCTAAACCCTAAACCCCAAACCCTAAACCATAAACCCTAAACCCTAAACCCTAATGACAATGACAACCCCGTAACCTTGTTGCAGGACAGGTTTCGTAAAGCCCGGTTTGAGGGTTTAGGGTTTAGGGTCTATGGTTTAGGGTTTGGGCCTATAAAGGTTCCCCAAAGCCCCCCTGAAGCCTGAAAACCTACTCCCCCCCTACCTAGGCCCTAAACCACGTCCGATCATTGAAGTCAGAGGCCTTCCTGAGCCCTATAGCAACACTGCCCTAAACCCTAAACCCTAATCCCTAAACCCTAAACCCTAAACCGAGCCCCGAGTGCTAACGTCGCCCCAAAGCTCGGACTTTGGGGTTTGAGGTTTAGGGTTTTGGGGTTTAGGTTTGGGGTTTTGGGGGTTTAGGTTTAGGGTTAAGGGCTTAGAGGAAGGGAGTGTTCCAGGTGGGGTGCCTCATATGAGGCTTCTATAAAATAAAAAAAATGAGGGCGCTGAGGGTTACATAAGGGTTGTACAAGGGTATAGTAGGGCAGGGAAGCCACCTACCTGAAATGGGCCCAGAATAAGAGCACACACACACGCACAAAAAAACCCGAAACCCCAAACCCCAAACCCCAAACCCCAAACCCTAGACCCTAAACCCTAAACCCTAAACCCTAAACCCTAAACCCTAAACCCTAAACCCTAAACCCTAAACCCTAAACCCTAAACCCTAAACCCTAAACCCTGACTACCGCGTTGCCTGAATCGTCCTGGTGCCTCGGCCTCTTGCGCTGCGTGGGTGCGGAGTGGTGGGCTCGAGGGATAAAAGACACTCCGCGACTGGAGGGTTTTGGGGGGGTGGGGGGGGGGCGAAGTGCTTCGGGGTTTAGGGTTTAGGGTTTAGGGTTTAGGGTCTAGGGTCTAGGGTTTAGGGTTTAGGGTTTAGGGTTTAGGGTTTAGGGTTTAGGTTTTTGGGTTTAGGGTTTAGGGTTTAGGGTTTAGGTTTTTGGGTTTAGGGTTTAGGGTTTAGGGTGTAGGGTGTAGGGTTTAGGGCAGAATTAAGGAAGGGCTTTGGGCTTCGGATTCAACTTGACGTTGGTTGGGTTTAGAAGTTAATTAGGGTTTAGGGTTTAGGGCTCCGGGTATGACCCTAGTCTACATACTTGCCCCTCTCCAGCCCACCCTAACTACTTGAGGGATTCTTCGAAGGTCGTACCCTTGAATTTTGAGACTTTTCAAAGAGCCCCCGGGGGCACTAAGGAAGACTTTTTGGGGAACCAGGTTGAGGGTTTAGGAACCCTAAACCCTAAACCCTAAACCCAAAAACCTAAACCCTAAACCCTAAACCCTAAACCCTAAACCCTAAACCCTAAACCCTAAACCCTAAACCCTGTTTCCGGCCCAGGCTCACTATGAAATAGTGGGCATGAAATAGGAAGAGAGACGCGGGGATCCTTATTTTCTTAGGACATTCCTACTCTACGCCTGGAGTTAGTTGAGTTTTATTGAAAGCTCCTTTCACGTCCTGACCCCTAAACCCAAAGCCCAAAACCCTAAACCCCAAACCCTAAACCCTAAACCCTGACCCTCTACAGCTGCCCTCTAACCAGTTCAGGGCTTGGGTTTAGGCTTTCGGGCTTTATGGTTTACAGGGCCTAGGGTTCAGGCTTTAGCGGTTTAGGGTTTTGGTATTGGGTTTTGGGCTGAATTAGGGTTGGGGTTTGGGCGAAACCCTAAACCCTAAACCCTAAACCCTAAACCCTAAACCCTAAACCCTAAACCCTAAACCCTAAACCCTAAACCCTAAACCCTAAACCCTAAACCCTAAACCTAACCCTAAACCCTAAACCCTAAACCCTAAACCCTAAACCCTAAACCCTAAACCCTAAACCCTAAACCCTAAACCCTAAACCCTAAACCCTAAACCCTACCAGGGGGGCCACGGGTCTTTGGCTGCCACCTGCTGCGCAGCCCGGAGCTGCTGCGGGCAGAGCTGTTAAAAGGCGCTTGGTGGTTCGTCTTCGGGTTTAGGGTTTAGGGTTTAGGGTTTAGGGTTTAGGGTTTAGGGTTTAGGGTTTAGGGTTTAGGGTTTAGGGTTTAGGGTTTAGGGTTTAGGGTTTAGGGTTTAGGGTTTAGGGTTTAGGGTTTAGGGTTTAGGGGTTTTTGGGGTTTATTTAGGGTTTAGGGTTTAGGGTTTGCGTTTAGCGTTTAGGGTTTAGGGCTTAGGGTTTCGGGTTCCAATTTTTAAGCAAATGCACATCTGAGGCTGATAGCGTGTATGATCCTGCATGCTTTTTGTTTAGCACAACTGGTAGGTGTACACGCTTTTCCCCCCCCCCCCCCCCCCCCCTGAATCCTGAGATTGGGATGTTCCCCCTCACACAAAAAGTCATTAACTAGAGTACCCTTTATTATAATCCCTATTAAGGACTGCTAGTATACGTATAGAGTCCTTAATAGGGATTATGGTACCCCCTATCAGAATCCCGATTAAGGGCTGTTAGTATAAGTATAGAGTCCTCAATAGGGATTATGGTACCCCCTATCAGAATCCCCTCTTAAGGACTGTTAGTATAAGTCTAAAGTCCTTAGGCATCTTCTGCTTGGGAGTCGGGGCACAAGGGGTTTAGGGTTTAGGGTTTAGGCTTAGAGCCCCTATAAACCTCTGAACCAAAAAAAGTCAAGGTTCAACAGGGACTGAGGATGAATTTGGGGCTTACCCTAAACCCCGAAACCCGAAACCCCGAAACCCGAAACCCCGAAACCCGAAACCCGAAACCCGAAACCCGAAACCCCGAAACCCGAAACCCGAAACCCCGAAACCCGAAACGCTAAACCCTGAACCCTAAACCCTAAGCCCTAAACCCTGAACTGTAGACCCTTACCGGCTTTGGGGCGTTAGAGCGTCGGAGCTTAGGCTTTTGCGGGTTGCCCTGTGAAGGCTTAGAGCAGTGCGGCGACACGCAGGCCAGGGCGCTTAAGAGCCTTTCGTATTAGGGTTTAGGGTTTAGGGTTCAGGGTTCAGGGTTTAGGGTTTAGGGTTTAGGGTTTAGGGTTTAGGGTTTAGGGTTTAGGGTTTAGGGTTTAGAGTTTAGGGTTCAGGGCTTCAGGGTGTAGCTGGGGTGAAGTCTATGACACAACACACCCAGACCCCCAATTGCCCACACCTAAACTCCGCCCCCCCCCCCCCCCCCCCCCCCCCCCCCCCCCCCCACCCCCTCCCCACAAACTCACATTGATTACCTACCAAGGTTGGGTTGGCATATGCCTGGGTGCAGCTAGGTTATGGGGTCCTCTCGTGGCCCCTAAGCGCGAAACCCTACACCCTCGATAACGGCCCCCAGAACCTTTGCAGAAGGCTCGTGCAGGCGCCTTTTCATTTTGAAGAGGATGGGACTGGAGCAGGATCCGTAATTACAGGTGTAGGGTTTAGGGAGGATCAATGGTTTATTAGTGGGGTTTAGAAACGATTAAATTGGAGAATGGCGGCTTGTAAACTTTCGGAGCTACGTGGTGTTTTTCTGCAGTTCTGGTTCCCGCTTGAGGTTCCTGTTAGAGCACGAGCCCTAGCCCCTGAGCCCTAAATCCTAAACCCTAAACCCGAGCTCTCAACCCTAAATATTTGACCTGGCCAAGTGGAGGTGCCTGAAGTCCTCCAATGTAACCTCCGCAGTTGTCTCGAGGAGCCTCGACAGAAAGTCGGTTGGCGGGTTTGGGGTTTAGGGTTTAGGGTTCGGGCTTAGGAGGTTGCAAACGTTAGAACCCCCAAAGCCTATAAATCAGCCCTAAGCCGTCAGGAAGATAGTACGTATCGAGTAAGGATAGAATAAGAATCAACCATTCCCACTGCCCCCCCCCCCCTAGCTTCCCCCCTTAGCGACCCTTACTTAGGCATACTTCTCCTGAAATAACCTTAACTATTGGGGGGGGAAACCGAACGGGGGGTAGTATAGATGGGGATAGTAAGGGAACCCTAAACCCTAAACCCTCAACCCTCAACCCTCAACCCTCAACCCTCAACCCTCAACCCTCAACCCTCAACCCCTAAACCCTAAACCCTAAACCCTAAACTCTAAACCCTAAGCCCTAAACCGAAAGAATAGAGGTACCAGGGTCGCCAGCTCTGTACCCGGCTCCGGGGCTTGCAAGACCTACTTTGGGATTTGCTATGGGCGTCGGAAGAATTACTAAGAGTACTCCCTTGTCGTGCCTGTTTTATTTATACCATATCAACGCCCCAAAGCCCTATTCTAATTATGAAGGCCCTCTAGCTCAGCTTGTGTTTCAACAGGTACGTCAGGTACGTGGGAGAACCTACAGAAGACTGGTTATGGGAATTACAACCTGGGTTGCAACCCAGTTTGCAAGTTCCAGGAACCTTGAAGCTAGGCCTTGCTCAACACCATCCGAATCTAGGGTTTAGGGTTTAGGGTTTCGGGTTTAGGGTTTAGGGTTTAGGGTTTAGGGTTTGGGGTAAACCCCTACGTAAGTTTGCTACGAACTTCCAGGCCCTGAGCCCTATAAAAGCCTTTACCCTACAGGCCCCGTCGTAAGTAAATCGGCCCGGAGACAAGGTTTACGTTATTGTTATGGGTGTATGTGTGTTGGTGAGTGTAGATATAGGGGGTATCTTTTTTGGGGAATACAGGAAACCCTCCTACACATTGGGGGTCCTCAGGAGCTCGCTGACGACTCTCTGCGCTTGATGGCCGAACGTGCCCCTGGCAAGTTGGGCACCTGTGGACACCGGGTTTCCTTACCGTTGGCTAGTAGGGATACCCTTTAGAATCCCGTTAAGGGATTATATAGGGCCCTAATTCCCTCATTCCCTGCTAACCAACGGTAAGTAAGTTTCAGGAGTGTCCAAGAGGCGAAGAGACCCTGCACCTACTACTCCATCTCCCATAAGCCCTAAACCCTTCAACCAGAAACCCTAGCAAACCAACCCTAAACCATAGACCTTAGACCCTAGACCTAAACCCTAAAGCCTAACAAAGTTTTCCTAAACCCTACATCCTACATCACACCTCGACTTGCTTGGGGCCCAGGGCTTAGGATGTAAGGAGTTTACTTTCTGCAGTTAGCAGTTGTGGCTAGGAGTAGCTGAAGGAGCCTAGAAGCGAACAAAAAGTTCACAATTGCAACTGCCTTTTAGGGATCGTTTGCGGGGGTCCTGTTCAGCAAGGTTGCACTACACATGAGTTTATGACCTTAAGTTTACCATTCCAACAGTAGCCTCATAGGTTTCCCGGTATTTACGCTGGATTGCCCTAAACCCTAAACCCTAAACCCTAAACCCTAAACCCTAAACCCTAAACCCTAAACCCTAAACCCTAAACCCTAAACCCTAAACCCTAAACCCTAAACCCTAAACCCTAAACCTCTTTGAAGCAGCAGAGCTTTTCGGAATGCGTTTCGGAGCGAGCCATCGGCTTTCATGCCTTGCAACGGCTTAGGGTTTAGGGTTTAGGGTTTAGAGTTGAGGGTTGAGGGTTTAGGGTTTAGGGTTAAGGGTTTAGGGTTGAGGGTTGAGGGTTTAGGGTTTAGGGTTTAGGGAAGTACCATTTCTAGGCAACGTTGTCGCTTCGCTCAGCCGTGGCGTGGCTGGACTTCCAAAGCAGCTATCGCGCTTCTAGCGCAAGGCTTCCTTAGTAGTCGAATGAGTACACTTTACACGTTACACCTTTTTGGGATACTGTAATCCCTATAGAACTGAAAGTGTACACGTTTTGGGGGGCTTATGAACTCAGCAAGTAAGCTTCAAAGAAGGACACTGCGAAACTAGGGCATCGCTGTGGAGCTCCCCGACGACCATGCGCCCAAAACCCGAAACCCCACACTCTCAACCCTGAACCCTGATCCCCGAACGATAAACCCTCAAACCTAATCCCTAAACCCTCCACCCTCCACCCTCAACCCTCAACCCTTAACCCTAAACCCTAAACCCTAAAATTTAAACCCTAAATCCTAAACCCTAAACCCTAACTCTAAACCCTAAACCCTAAACCCTAAACCCTAAACCCTAAACCCTAAACTCCAAACCCCAAACCATAAACCCTAAACCCAATCCTTAAGCCTCAACTGAGAGCTGCTGCCAGGGGGGCCGTCCGCGCCGCTACCGCTGCCGCCAACCCTGGGTCGCTGCATCCTGGCCGCCCCTTGGCCCAAGTTTAGGGTTTAGGGTAGCCCTAAACCCTAAACCCTAAACCCTAAACCCTAAACCCTAAACCCTAAACCCTAAACCCTAAACCCTAAACCCGTGTAGAGTTGAGGGTTTGGGGCTTGAGGGCTTGGAGTTTGGGGGTTTGAGGTTTTGAGGGTTTAATGTTCGAGGACCCAGAGGCCCTTGTTCCCCTGATTTAGGGCCTAGGTTCCCTGAAAAGCCCCTGTGAACCCAAAAAGGGCACCCTTTCTCTTCCTAGGTTACTCTTGAGTCTACATGGCTTTAGGGTTTGGGGTTTAGGGGTCAGCTGTATAAGCAAGAAAGCTTAATTAAAGTTGTCTGGCACTGCTTGGGTAATAGTACTTCTAACCAGAGCAATAGTGATAAGTTCATTGTTCGTGATATGATATATGACTTGCTATAAGCAAGAAGGTTTAGGGTTAACCCTGCGTCGAGACGTACTCGCGGCTGCAGACAAGGTGGGCCCGGAGGCGGGCTGGCGCGAAGAAGAGGCCACTGAAGTGGGTCACAGCTTGAATTTTGTCATTTTAATGAGTGGGATTACTGACGAGCACATGGCCACTTGTAACCTCTCACCCCAAACCCGAGCTTTCACGCTCCGAGCGTCGCGATAGGAGCCCCGAAAGGACCGTGTTCTCCAGAAGCGTGTCGGATTGTAGATGGATCTCATGGACTGCAGGGTTCGGGGCTTCGAGTTTTTGGCGTATTTTGTTTTGGCATCTTTAGTGTATCTAAGGCAAGATTTAGGGCTGGGGTGTAGGGCCCCAAGCCCGACCCCTCCCACAACCGAAAGCCCCCAAGCCCACGAGGCTCAAGCCTTGAACCTGAGTTGCGCCAGTTGCAGGAGGCGCTGCTGAAAGAGGCGGGCTTCCAGGGGCTTTGCCGGAGGCCGAGAGACTGGCCCAAGATAGGCGAACACATGTAGGCTTATCACCCTAAGCACCCTATCCCTAAACCCTAAACCCTAAACCCGAAACCCTAAACCCTAAACCCTAAACCCTAAACCCTAAACCCTAAACCCTAAACCCTAAACCCTAAACCCTAAACCCTAAACGCATGAGGGCTTAAAGGCTTAGGCCATGGGATTGAAGATTAGGGTTGAGGGTTGGAGTAGGGACGTGGGGGTCAAGGGATTTGGGTGTGGTAGTGGTACAAGGACCTTATATGAAGAGACCAAAATGTGGATACTGGCTTCCATGGTAACTTGATTTCAGGCCCAAGCCTATGGAACACGACGCGCGATGCTACTCCAGGTTAGGGTTCGGGGTTTGGGCTTTGATCCCCAACTTACAGTTTCAGCTTCTTTCCCCCCCGCCCCCAAATAAAGCCGACACAAACTCGAACATCCTCGTACTTCTACAAGGTTGCAATAACCTTAAACCCGAAACCTTAAACCTTTCCGCCCCAAACCCTCAACCCTTAACCTTTCGACGCACTTGGGACTACGTGCCTCCAGTGCAAAGGTCTTGGGGTGCGACCGCTGACCACAGAGCTCCAGGTCTCAAGAGCCATGGCTTGTAGAGACGCGCGTTGGAATGTAGGGTCTTCAGGGTTTAGGGTTTAGGGTTTGGCTTTTTTGGGTTCCGGGTTCACCGTTTAGGGTTTGGGGTTTAGGGAGGGTGTAGGTTTGTTCGGGTTCAGTGTGTAGGCTTGCGGGTAGCAGGTCATGGACGCCCGCAATTCCAAATCGGTACTGAGGGCCCCATGAATTCGGGTACGCCATAGATATCGAGGGATTCTCTGAAGACATAGACGCCCTTCCTAAATGGCTCCGTATCCTTGTGCGAACCCCAACAGACCTTAATTGAGGGACACCCCCCCCCCCTAAACCAAACCCGAAATTCGAAGCTCTAACAACACCAGGCAAGCCTTGGACCCCTCAAGAACCCTCAACCCTAAACCCTAAACCACACTGGCAGAGACTGGGAGACCTGGAGAGCGATCCAAGCAGCAGCGGCAGGTTTTCGCCGGCGTGGCGCTGGCGGACGCTGTGATGCGCAGCGAAAGGAAAACTGGTCCGCACAATCAAGCACCTACATCTACATCTACATCTACATATAGATTATATTATATTATATTATATTATATTATATTATATTATATTATCAGATATATATATATATATATATATGTGTGTGTGTGTCTGATGCTACAATGTTAAATTTTGTTATGCAATATAATCTTGTACTGTGTTGTATTCTCTTGTAGCATGTTTCTGTTTGTGCACAATGTTCATTTTACAGTGTTTTTGTCTATGTCCTATTCTGCAATTGCCATCTATACTAGAGCTTAGATATTCTACGTTATTGAATGTTCGCCAGCATTTCTTATGCCATTCTAGATTGTCTCATATTCTCAAGAGACCTTGTAAACCACCCTTGTAGCCAAAAGCCCTCTGAGCCCTAAGAAAGCGCCCCAGGTCCTTAAGCCCTGCAACCCTAAACCCTAAACCCTAAACCCTAAACGTCCTTAAGCCCCGCAACCCTAAATCGCGCCCTCGCTTGGCCCAAGCTTTCTGGGAAGTGCGGGAGCCGAGGGACATCGGAGTTTTCCGAACCTCAAGGACGCACAGCCAAAACTGTTTGGCGCAGGGTTTAGGGTTTAGGGATTAGGGTTTAGGGTTTAGGGTTTAGGGTTTAGGGTTTAGGGTTTAAAAAACCCGAAGCCCTGAGCCCCAACCCGAAACCTGCGCAGGACAACGTGTAGAGCTTTAGGACTTTGTGGGTGTTAGGGCTTGGGGGCTTTGGGGACTTTTGGGTTTTTGTTTTATTTTGGGTTGTGGGGTTCAGGGATATCCCCAAGACAGATCACGCAACAAGCAACCTCAAACTTGCAAGCCATAGCCCTAAGCACCCGACATGTGTCATCCAAACGCGTAAGCCCCGTGTTTCGGATTCAGGGTTTTGGGCTTCCGGTGCAGGGATACTTGAAAGCCGCTGCAGCAAGAAGCCCCCCCGAAGAAGGGAACCCTCAATCCCTAGATCCGAAACCCCGCACCCTAGACCCTAAACCCTTAAGCCCTCAAACTTTGAAGCCTGAAGTTTCGAAGGCTTCTTCGGGTTCTTAAGGCCAGGGTTGACAGGGTACCCGGGTACCCTAAGCCCTAAACCCTGAACCCGAACCCTGAACTCTAAACCCCAAACCCTAAGCAAGCCCTAAACTGAAAATCTTAAACCCTCAACCACTACTCGAGACCCGACACCCTATCTTTCAGTTCAGACAGGGGCAGGTTTGAACATACTCTCTGTTTTATTACCCTTGAATGCCCTACATAATCCTTTTAGGGCCATAAACCCTTAATCCCTTCTATATACAGACATACATTCCTTCTAGAGCCATAAAAAATTGGGTTTTATCGGGCCCCAGACAAACCTACCCCAGATTCAGAGGACACCGAAAAATGGGCAACATCTGTCGACCACCACCTCTGCCGGTGGCCACCTGGCCCTCTCATTTCGAGTCTAGTTTTAGGGTTTAGGGTTTAGGGTTTAGGGTTTCGGGTCCAGGGCCGAGGGTTTAGGGTTTAGGTTTAGGGTTTAGGGATTAGGGTCCAAACCTCCACCTCGCCAAAGTTCGCATGCGGAAGGCTCCAGGGCACCAAGTTTTTTTGTGGGTATTCGGATTTAGGGTCTAAACCCTTCATGGGCATGTGTGGCTTAGGGTAGGTAACCCCTGGAATCACTCTTTTTGCAGGTCCTTCTATGTGTTGAGCTGATTGCATGTACACACATTTATACGTACACAAATATGCATATACCGTGTAGAAAATGTATATTTTTTACATATGTATATATATATACTGGCATATCCGTGCACCCCAGCAACTCTGTACATATGTCCTTGTATATACTACGATACAGTGAGCAATTCCGTAGGCTATCTTTCCCCCTAGAACCCCTATGCATCTGCAGGAAGTACTGTCTTCAGACCCAAGTCCAATTCGCTTATCCCTTAAACCGGGTTTAGGGTTTAGGGTTTAGGGTTTAGGATTTAAGATTTAGGATTTAGGGTTTAGGGTTTAGGGCTCAGGGTTTAGGGTTTAGGATTTAGGGTTCAAACCCGAACCCTATATACGACATCCAACAGCTTTGCGCGAGCTTCCAAAGTTGACGTTGTCTCAAAGGCGGGCGCAGCGCTCCCCTCACGAGAGGAAGCACCCGAGTTGCAGGAGGAAGAGGCAGGGGTTTTAGGGTTTAGGGTCTCGGGTTTAGAGTTTAGGGTTTAGGGTGTAGGGTTTAGTGTTTAGGGTTTAGGACGATTTCAGGCCTGAGAATGGAGGGTTGACTGGAAACATGCCTTTCGAAGTACAGTATGGTTGAGGGTTCAGGGTTCAGGGTTCAGGTTTCAGGGTTCAGGGTTCAGGGTTCAGGGTTTAGGATTTAGGGTTTAGTATCTGCTTTGGGGCAGAACTTACCCTAAACCCTAAACCCTAATCCCTGAACCCTATAAGCCCTGAACCCCAAAGCCCACAACCCTGGGCCCTAAAGCGCCCAAAGCCCAAAAGCCCTAAGAAGCCCTAGGCCCTCAGCTCCGAAACCCTAAACCCTAGACCCTAAACCCTAAACCCGAAACCCTAAACCCTTTCAGGGTTTTGGCAAAAGGATGAGCCGAGGCGGCCGCAGTTCCGGGGATGCGACCACACTTGATTCTCTAGATGATGGTTTAGGGTCTAGGGTTTAGGGTTTAGGGTTTAGGGTTTAGGGTTTGGGGTTTGGGGTTTGGGGTTTAGGGTTTGGGGTTTAGGATATACAAACACACATAAGGATTTAGGGTTTAAGGGAACCGTGCATAGAAGGCCCTTTATTTTAGGATCGTCCAAAGCGGCCACATTTAGAGAACTTCTCAAGCCATACGAAGGTTTCTCTTCATGCAGTGCCTGGCTCTGTGCCAGGAGATGGGCATCAACTGTCTCATGAGGCGCGGATCATGCCCGTTGGCTGTTTCAGCCCTCTGGTACCCTAAACCCTAAAGGCTGAACCCTCGTATACCCTACGCCCAACACCCTAAATCCCAAACCTCACGCTGTGTTTTGAAGCTAACTTGTTGCAGCTTGTTTTAGGGTTTGGGTTCCCTTACGAGCCCATTTAAGCCAACAAGGGCACCCTAAACCCTAAACCCTAAACCCTAAACCCTAAACCTTTATTCCTCGGTCAACCTTGGGTCTAAGACTCGTCACGCTTTAGGGCTGCAGGGTTCACAAGGGCGGGGCTTTGCCCCCAAGCCCCAGATGCTTGAGACGACTTCCTAAAGCATTCAAACCCACGAACACCCTTAATGCTTTTGGTTTAGGGTCTAGGGTCTAGGGTCTAGGGTTTAGGATTTAGGGTAGAGTTTAGGGTTTAGAGCCTTTAGAGCCCTAGATAGCCCTCATGTCGAGTCAAACCCCCTGCTGGAAGGTTCATGGGTTACTTCTAAGCAGGTAAGTCAGGGCTGTCTGCCGTGGAGCTGTATTGTTTCCAGTCATCTGGCCCTAGTGAAGCCTACCCAACTTAGGGTTTGGGGTTAAGGGTTTAGGGTTTAGGGATTCCCTAACCCCTAAGCCTAAACCCTGAACCCTGAACCCTGAATCCCAAACCTTACCCTAAACCCCAAAAAACAACCCCTGAAGACACCCCTCCCAAAAGCCCGCTCGTCAGCCACAAGCTGAACTGCTTCCACAAGTCGGAGTCCTTTGAAATTACCGGATCCGAGGCGCGCGCGAGAGAACCGTGAGATGCTCGTTGGGGGTTTAGGGTTAGGGGTTTAGGCTCTTAGGGTTTTAGGGTTTTAGGGATGAGGGTTTAGGGTTAAGAATCAGGGGAGGAGTCCGTCACATTGCAAGCTCCAGATTAGGGGCGGATACTGGGTAGGGTTTAGGACTTTCGGGTTTAGGGGTTCAAGGTTTGGGGAAGGGCCTGCAAACAAATTCCACAGTGACCTTAGAAAGCCTGTGTTTAACGGGCAATCTAGGTGCTGGTAAGCATCCATGTTCATGTTACGTATTGTCATTATTTGTTTTTTTTGGGGGGGAAGCGGGGGGAGGGGGTGCAGCTCTTCGTGGGTTGAGATTTTAGCGTGCATTGCTTGGGTTTGGGGTTTAGGGTTCGAGGGTTTGGGTGTTCGCTTTTGGCGTTGGTGTTGCTTCTTTGTGGTACTTTATTATAACTTTAGATCTTTAGCCTTTTTGGGTTTATTGGGTTTCTTAATCAGGCAGCTAAAAATGCAATTTATAGCTACCCTCCTTAGTGCAGCCAAGGCTTGTTGAGGTTTCAGTTGAGAGTTGAGAGGGTTCGCACACATGGGTTTTGATTTCGCACCCGTCATGCTGCAGGCACCGTTGGCATGACAAAGGCCCCCAACCTCCAACCTTAAACCCTGAACCCTAATCCAAAAACCCTATACCCCAAACCCTAAACTTACAACCCTAAACCCTAATCCTGTAACCCTAGACCCTAAACCCTAAACCCTAAACCCTAAACCCTAAACCCTAAACCCCCAAAGCCCGGAATCCTCAACCCTGGGTTCGGCCATTCCTGATCTTAAACACATAAGGACGCCTCTCGGAAACCGGGGAATCTCAATCTTGAAGCCCTGACCCCTAAGCCCTACACCCTAAACCCTACACCCTAAACCCTAAACCCTACACTCTAGACCCTAGACCCTAAACTAACCTAAACCCTACACCCTAAATGCTAAACCCAAAACCCAAAACCCTAAACCCTAATTAACACTGTGTAGGGTCACTGGCATCCCCCACTGACAGCCTTGTTCTCTTTGTTGGGTTCGGTTCCTTACAGAGCCCGGCGTCTCCACCACGGGGTGCTGTTCAACACTTTAGGGTTTAGGGTTTAGGGTTTGGGGTTTGGGGTTTGGGGTTTGGGGTTTGGGGTTTAGGGTTTAGGGCCGGGCAGGGTTCAGGGCTTAGGGGGTCTTGGGGGCAGTTTCCCGCAGAAAAAAGTCGCAACCTACCTGGGAACGCCCCTCTTGAAAGTGTCATTGAACCATGGGGTTTAGGG